TCGCCGTCTCTCTCGCACTCACGGGGCGTCGCGCATAGGTGCGAGAGAGACGGAGCGACGAAAACGACTCGGAATCAGTCTACACAGCCGCTTACGAGCCCTCCCTGTGCCTCGCCTCGAAACGGCTGCCTCACTCGACTTTCGCGACTGTCTCGAAAATTACCCTGTTCTGCGGTGGCCTAGCGTGTTGGCTTTGTCTCGGAGTAGTTAACCAGCGCCAAGTAAAACAACCCCGGTCTTTCAGTCCGGCAACTTAACATTTTCTGGGAGCGATTGGAGGTTTGCCGAAATGGAGTTTTTGTTACCTGTTGGAAACAATTTTTACCCAATCTGCTGACAAAACTGTAACAAGCTGGAGAAAAATTTGTTACTGGCTGGGTTACAATTTCGTCGCAAAATTTGGTGAGGCGCAAAATTGTTTCCAGCTGGTATAACAAAACATGTCCGCAGACATTAACTGTGCGCTGTGACGCCGATACACTGATGGTTGAACTCCAAACGGTCGTGGGATTCCAAAATTGAGAACGAGACAGGCGGGCTATGTTCGGAATCGCTCTGCCGGGGGGGCTGGCTGTGGAGAGGTGGGACATCACACCGGCCGTGGCCAAGGCCGCAGCCACGGCCGTGAGCGGGTCGGCCGCGGCAGGCTCGTCGCGACCGCGGCACAGTGGGCCAGAAGACCGGTGGAGGCGGCCAAAACTCTCGACGCGTTTTGAGCACCAGAGTCGCTAAATGGGACTCGAACCGAACGTGTGACCCCACCAATGGATTGCTCTCCGAACGAGGAATCCATTGGTGGGGTCACACGTTCGGTTCGAGTCCCATTTAGCGACTCTGGAGCTCAAAACGCGTCTGGAGTTTTGGCCGCCTCCACCGGTCTTCTGGCCCACTGTGCGCGGCGCGCTGTGCTGTGCGTCCCGGTACGGTCCGCCCTGGACCGGCCCGTCGGCCCGTCGCCATAAGCCGCTGCGGCCTGCGATCCGCACCAGAATAGTCCGCGCCGTTCTATTAGCGGTACTCGGCGCAGACCAATTCCGCACACCGTTTCGTCGCTCTGTCTCTCTCGCACCTCTACGACGCGCCCCGTGAGTGCGACAGAGACAGAGCGCCGTGCACCTCCGCCTCGGTTCCGAGTCGGGGTTGAGAAAGCGCCGTCTGCGCGCACGTGCCTGCCGCCTCCCCTTCGTCTCGGGGGTGATCGCCGGGGTAATCAGAACCGCGGCAGATCAACAACGGCCGGTTTAAAACGGTCCCCGCCGACGCTGTGGTCGGCGCCTCGTGCCGCCGCGGGGTGCGTTCACGTCGTTGAAGTCGACGCACGTGGGCGGCGGGGAAGGCGACGCCGTGGGCCGCCACCACCACGACGACAACGTGGAGGAGGAGGAGGACGACGACGACGACGTCGAGGACGACGACGACGTCGAGGACGACGACGACGACAACCTCTTCCAAACAAAGTGCCGAAGTCTCTCGGCGGCGGCACGTGTGGAGGGTGGTGGAGCAGCGCGTGGAGCAGGGCGCAGCGAGCAGCGCGGGCCGCACTTCATATGGATGGCGGCGAGGCCGCTTTGCTTTGAGTTTGGCCCTCACGCGCCGCCCCCTGCTGCCTCCTGGCCTCCTCCCCCGGGGTCGCCACGCCCGCCACGCCCGCCACGCCACCGCGGCGCGACTGCCGGGAAGCCGCTCTTCGTCCTGCCGCGGTTGCCGCCGTCGGCCCCCTCTCGGCGACTTCTCGAGAGACTGACTGCAGAAAGTTGTAATAGCAGTAAAGTGGCCTTCTCGACGGCGCCGGGGGCTGGCGGCGCCGTGGATCCCGTTTGAAGGGGGCGGCCTTACCAACCGCGCTGCTGCATCGCGCACTGCCACGCCCGCCTGATCAAAGCCAAGCAGGGCTCCAAGGACGAGTCGGGACAATGCACGCGCGCAGAGCGGCGCGACGGCGGGGGGCAGTCCTGGCCGAGCTGGCAGCCAGTCTGGGTGACCTGGCTCCGGGAATGTGAGATTGCCTTCACCCGCCCGTCCAGGGACTGACCCCAGGACCTCCAGGGCCTCCAGGGACTGCAGGGGCGGCCTGGAGGCGCTGCGCTGCACCGAGGGGCGACGGGCGGCGCGTCCAGGACGGCGACGTGCGGGGGCCCCGTCCGGCCCCGTCTTGCCAAGTCGGGAAGTTTCCCTCAACAAGTGCCTGTCCGTCCACGGCCCGCTCGGCTCGGCTCGGCCGGCGCGGCTCGGCGCGGCGCCCCCCAGGGGTGGGGGCAAAGTTTCCCGACTGCGATGTGGATACAGGCTGCAGTTTCCGGCTGGCCGGCGTGCCGCTCGGCGTGCCGCTCGGCGTGCCGTTTGCTCGATCCTTCGATCACGGCGGACGGCTGGCGCTGCCTCACGCTGTCTCTCTCACACGTGAACGGAACGCCCCATGAGTGCGAGAGAGACAGAGCAACGAAAACGACTCTCAGTGTGCAGGACGGCCCGTCTGGGAAAGTAACTTTGGCGGCCGGGCGGTGTGGGAGCTACTCCGGGGTCCGTTACGCCCGGCCCGATAAGACACTGTTTGCTTAACGTGCCGTTTTCTACGTCGTTCGCTTTGCCCCTTCTACTTTTGAACTGGTTCGATTTCCGGCGATGTAAAGCGGTCCTGCCTCTCCCTAAAGTGTAGTGTAAATATTTCATTTTTTTTTTTTGGAAGGTCCTAATCTTGATGACCCATTTTATTCGTCTTTTGTTTCGTTTTCTTTTTTGCAACCCGCGTAAACAAAGCTAAGGGATCATAGGACGAATCACGAAAAAAAAAAGACTATTCTAAAACAAGCAGAGCAAACGGACGGCCAAACTAATCGCAGTCGCGACCAACGGCAAGCTTGCCCCACCCCGCCCTGCCCCGCCCCACCCCGCCCTGCTCCACCCTGCCCCGCCCCACCCTGCCCCGCCCGCTTGGCTAATGCAATGCAAAGTTTGCGCAATTTCGGCGATCCGCGCGCTGCGGCGGCGTGGCGGGCGTGGCGGGCAGCAGCGTGCGGCAGCAGCCCTGGCCTTGCCCCGGCAGACTGCTGATCTGATTCCGATCCGGACAGACGTCCGTGATCGGATGAGGATGAGGATGGGGCCGACGGGGGCCTGGCTCGGCGAGCCAAGCCACCCACACTCCACCCCGTCGAGCCGTCCGGAGGGCAGTTCTTATTTCCTTATTTAAATTTTAGAATTTTTCGCTTGCCTAGTGACTTCCCCCTGGCGATAAACTCTGGAGCACCAAGCGGGGGAGGCTCCAAGCCACCGCCAAAGAGTCTCTCCAAGACTCCGACTTGAGCCTCCCCTCTTTTTCCGGTGCCCCTGCCTGCCGTTGCTGTCCGGTGCGGCTCCAGGTTCCAGGCTCATTTGTTTCCGTGCGCGGCGTGCGCGGCCCCCGAGCCCTGGGCTTAACCAACAATAGCGTGTTACGGCATACCGGTCCGCGGCGGGCGTGGCGGCGCGTGGCGGGCTTACAGGGCAGGCAGGCGGGCAGGCAGCCAGGCAGGCAGGCAGCCCCATCTGCGCGATGGCCCGGACGGCTCCGAACCCGCTCGGCCGCTCGGCCCTTTGATCCAGCAGCCGTACGAGTTCCACGAGGTCTTGGAGCTCTTGGAGGTAGGAGCGCGGCGGGCCGGCTGCTGTGTTCCCGCAAAGGGAGAATGGACGAGACTCGGCCTGAGCAGCCCGTCGAGGGGAGCGCCTTTTAGGTGTCTCAATTCCGGGCTGGCCTCAAAAGGTGTCTTAATGGAGATTTTTTTCGTGTTTTTCTTTTTTGCCGAACAAAAAAGACGAATAAGTAATTGAGGAAAAGCTTCCAGTTTCCACTCTCTGGTTTCCACGGCGGGCGGCGTCGCTCCGTCGCCGTCACGGCGAGAGGGATGGCGGTCGGATTGGCTCGGCTCGGGGGACGACGGCGGCGACGTCGGGGAGGACGGGGTGGGTCGGGGGATGCTAGCCATCAATAAGCCGCCGTCCTGATCAACTCCAAGACGGATTAGGCCGCCAGGTGGGGAGTACCTCGGCAGGTAAACAACAGGAAAAACAACAACATGAGCAGAAACAAGAGCAAAACCTGGCATCGTTCCGCGGCGCGACTCCGCGGCTTAGGGCTGCTTTCGCTTCGGCCGCTTTCGGCCCGCGCTTAATTAGGCGTCTTGAGACGATGATGGAGGAACGAGCTCACTGTCGGCGTGGGCGGATGGAGAGTGGGAGGGGGGAGGGGAGGAATGGCTGGTCGCTGATGAAGCCTGGGCCGACGGCGATGTGGGCCTCGACTGTCATTCTCAGAGACCGGGATTATGGAGGAGGGGCCGTTTCATCCCCTTTGACGCTGACCACCCCCCTTTGTGGCCGCGCCGGGGCAGCAGGCCTCCGGGCTATAGGCCTCCGGGCTATAGGCCTCCGGGCTATAGGCCTCCGGGCTATAGGCCTCCGGGCTATAGGCCTCCGGGCTATAGGCCTCCCGGCTATAGGCCTCCGGGCTATAGGCCTCCGGGCTATAGGCCTCCGGGCTATAGGCCTCCGGGCTATAGGCCTCCGGGCTATAGGCCTCCGGGCTATAGGCCTCCGGGCTATAGGCCTCCGGGCTATAGGCCTCCGGGCTATAGGCCTCCGGGCTATAGGCCTCCGGGCTATAGGCCTCCGGGCTATAGGCCTCCGGGCTATAGGCCTCCGGGCTATAGGCCTCCGGGCTATAGGCCTCCGGGCTATAGGCCTCCGGGCTATAGGCCTCCGGGCTATAGGCCTCCGGGCTATAGGCCCCCGGGAAAGCCCTTCGCTCTGCCCTCTTGAGGGAACCCGCGCTGTCCCCGCGGCCGCGGCGTCACACGCGCGCGGCTCTCGAAAAACGAGTGCGTCCTGTTTTGTTGTTTTTTGTTTTGTTCCGGGCAAGGCTTGGCACGGCCCGGCCGCGTCGCCGCGTTGTCGTGACACTGAGCAATGTCCTCGCCGAACTATGAAGCCGCTAACGCGTCTTTTGTTGCTCTGTGTTCCAGAGGAACTTCAACCCGATGACGGCCATCGTCTTCACGCTGGACTTCTTCCTCATCAGCTTCAACGTGAGTATCCAGCGCCCAAGCCTCGTGCAATCCTCCATTCATTCCACTGTGTTCATTCTCTATTTACATTGCCGTGAGGCATTTAGAATTATTTCCAGTAGTGTAGAGATGGAGGCGACCCCTTCCCGTTGCCCAATGCGCCGTGCTGCGCGCTCTCGATCCATAATGTCTTCGCATTATAACAGCGATCCAACCAAAACAGGTGCCTTTCCTTTTATTCTCTATTTCAGGCAGGGGAGGGGAGGGGGAGGAGTCCCGTTACTAGTTGTGCCTGGCTGAAGCGGCCTCCGCCACCCTCCCCTCATTGGCCATTCCTCATTGCCCGGGGCGCGGTCTTGTTTTGCATAATATTTCTACCCGTCCCCCCCCCTCCCCCTCCCCCTGCCCCAGCGCTACCGGTGATTTGGCCCGCCGCCCGGGCGCGGGGTGCGTGGCACTGCGTCGCCACCGCATCACCCTCTCTTTCCGGGTGGCAAACGGCCTGGAAAATTTACTCCCAACCGCCCCTCTCCCCTTCCCCCTCCCCCCGCACCCTGGACCCGCCCCAACACGAGCCGTAAATCCACCACCACTGGGGGCCGCGCCACGGCCTAGCCTCCAGGCTCCAGCCGCGCACACAGTTGGCGGAGTTTTTGTTGTTGTTCTTGTTGTTGTTGTTGTTGTTGTTGTCGACGGTCCGGCGAACTATGGCTGCGTGCTGCGCCTTGCGCCTTCTGCCACCTCGAGGCCGTGCTCCAGCAGAGTCGTCGCTCTGTCTCTCTCGCACTCTCGGGGCGTTCTCATGGGTGCGAGAGAGACAGAGCGACGAATTGACGTCGCCACGCGCGGCACGCGGACGTGACACGCCACGGGACGCATTTCCGTTTCAACTTCTCTCCTCCTCGTTGGCCTCGAATAGAAACGCGCAGCAAGGGAAATAGGTTTTCGCTCCCGCCCGGTTTTGTGAGGCACAAGTGCGGAGGCACGTGTGGTCCTGTCCTGTGTCGGTCAGGACTGAGACAGGAATTCTCATCATTTTTCTGGCCGTGTTTTGCTTTACGCGGATCGACTAGTCCTCCGTTTTTTTTTTCGAGCTCTTTCCCCCGCCCCTTTGGGATGACTTGCTTTCGAAATCCCGCCGCAACATCCTGCAAAGCCAAGAGCCCTCGACGTCGCGGTCCTCCCCTGACGGCGCCTCTTGGAGCCTCGTGCCTCGTGCCTCGGCCGGCCGAGGCCGAGACGTCCAGCAAGCCCGCAGACTGAGAGTCGTTTTCATCGCTCTGTCTCACTCACAACGCGGCGCCCCATGAGTGCGAGAGAGACAGAGCGACGAAAACGACTCTCGGAATGAGTACTGCTGCTGGGCCTGGACGTTTTAATCAGAGCCAGGAC